TGTGCTAAGAAGTTGTTAGATAGAAATTACAATTTATTATTTGATTTTAACTTTCCTTGAACAATTTCTAAGCTGTAGCAGAGAGATGCATGCATTTTATGATGTAACCACAAGTGTTTGAATCTTTAACCTTCCAATATCCTTGCTTTGAGGTATTTTGTGACCTCTAGTGGCAGCATGAGAAAAATGTTGATTTTTTTCATATTATGTTGACTTCATGAAAGTGTTTGAAGTAGGCAAATACCCAAGTATTACATATTTATGGTGAGAAATACAATGGGATAGGAAGATTGCGCAGTGGAATGAGAACATTAACATACCAAGTCAGAGTTACTCATCAAGCTGAAGATTATCTGGAAGTTGAGTGATGGCAACTGGACTTCTTTCTTGTTAGATTGAAATGTTTTGCTACTCATCCAGGTAGCTTCTTCAGTCTGAGGAGAGTTGGTAGGAGATCCCTGATATATACTCACCTTTGGTTTCACTTCCCCCTGGTCTCAATAGGCTTGTTAGAAGGACATGTACTTCATTATTCGTTGGCATATTCTTGTTAGAATTTTGACAGATTCTGTTTCTTTAGCTTGAAATAGTTCTATTGGTATTCCATCTGTGCTGATGATTTATTTCTACCTAGTGCTTTCAGAGCAGCTTTCACTTCACTTTCTAAAACTGCAGGTTCTTTATCATAGGATTTGTCTTCGAAGAAATTTGTCTGTCATCCTTTTATCTCTTCTGTAGAGGTCTTCAGTATACTGTTTCCACTTTCTCTTTACTTTCTTTTTGTTAGATGGTGTGCTTTCCTGTTGGTCATTTAACATTCTTAATCTAGGCTTAAATTTTCCTTTGACTGCTTAGATCTTCTGAAAGAGACCTCTTGTTTTTCCCCTTTCGTTCTCTGTTAATTTACACAGGTTATTGTAATTATCTTTGTGTCTGTGTACAGTGGGGTCTCGACTTACGAACAGCTCGATATACGAACGTTTCGACTTACGAACCACTCTCATAGGAATATATGGACTCGACTTACGAACTTAGATTCGAGTTACGAACTCTTTTTTTCCCTTTTTTTAAAAGCTAAGTCATCTTAGGTTAAAAGGGAAAAAGGAAAAAATATCCCCCTGCAGTGGCAGAAGGCAGAATAGCAGCTTCCCATTAGTTTCTATGGACGAAAAGAGCAGATACGGATTAAATGGTTTTCAATGCATTCCTATGGGAAATGCAGATTCGACTTAAGAACTTTTCGACTTGAGAACTGCCTTCCAATACGGATTAAGTTTGTAAGTCGAGACCCCACTGTATTAGTCACTGAAATGCTGCATCCATGGCTCTGTCCCTTTTCCCTTTCCCTTTTGTTTTTTGCTTATCTTTGAAAGTTTTTTTCTGTCATCCATCTCGTTTTTTTTTTCCTGTTTACTAAAGAAATTGTATTTTTGCATTCTTCCCTAAGAATATCTCTGGTTTCAATCCAGAGTTCCTCTGGTTCACCAACAGTTTAGTAATGCAAATCTGTTCCTTATGTGGACATAATTAATCAGGAATGTTATTTAAATTATGTTATGATACTTTTAGATTCTCTTTCAGCTTTACTCTAATGTTCTACATAAACAGTTCATGATCAGTACCACAATCACTCTGGGTCTTGTTTTGACTGAAATAATACAGATTCTTCATTTCCTGCTTCCAATTACATAGTCTGTTTGATTTCTGTATGTTTATACATTTCACTTTTTGCTTTACAGTTCCCAGTTTACCTTGATTCATGCTTCTCACATTCCATGTTCCAATTATGTGTTGAACAGTATCAGACTTTTCTTTTCCCTTCTGTGTGTGTCAGACACTATTTGTCTTTCCCGCTTTAATCTAGTTGTGTCATTAGTAGCAGCACTATTTGCACTTGTCCTTTGTTCTTCCCCAGTAGCTGATCAAGTACTTCCCAACCTGGGAGTCTCATCTTCCAACTCTATCTCTTGATTCATTTTGGGCTGTCTCATCACAGGATTTTCATGATAAGGAAAGTTCATCAGGGGTTTACCATTACCACCTTCTGCATAGTTCTAAGAAAAGTTAACTTGAGTGTCACTGCCATTGTCTCCTCCAACAGTGTGGCCTTCAGTTATTGCTGCTGCCTTGAAAAAGGTGGATGCATCTTAGCCTGGCGTTGCTGCTGGTCTTTCACCATAATAAATTCAATTAAAAATTAGCCTGGTGTCTCCTGCCATTACGAAACTTAGCTGTACCCCATTTTTATTTACTTTCTATTTGAGTCTAAAGTTCTAGATTGGTTTTGAAAGGTCTTGAACTGAGTTCCCTATTAACCCGAATAGTGGCTACTTTGTGGACATAATTCATTCCAAGAAGCACTCTGAGATGGATGGAAATTGGCCTGGGATTTTTGGTGGGGAGAGGGGGGGTTACCCCCTACCCAGGCCAAATCTAAATCCTGAGGTTCCTCCTTCAGTTTTTCTCCTTCTTTGCCTACTGGCTAATAGAGTCTTCCAGTGCTGCTGTTTAGTAATCTTCCCCATCCCTATAATTTCTTTTCAATTTCCTGGCTTTCATCTCCTAAATGAAACAGTTGTGCTGCTTTGGCCTACCCATTAACATCATTACTGTAGTCATATATCTTGTAGGCCTCATGATGATATTCTTGATTTATCAGATTAAAGCTTTGGGATTTCCTGTTTCTTTTCCTCTCAGCAAAGTCCATGATAAGAGCAAGAAGGAGGAAGGAAGAAGAAAGGCGGGAGATATCAAATGGGATGAGTTTTTAAAATTATTATTTTATAAACTAAACATTACAAAATAGTACAACAATAGAAAAGAAGAAGAAAAATATACTAAACAAGTTAAAAATATGACATGAAACATACCTTGCATCCAGTGTACATTGTCTACCCTCGGGATATATCCTTTAAAAATTTAATTAATTAATTTGTTTATTTGTTTTAATTCCTTTCTAATTCACATATCCGGTTTCTCTCCAAAAATATGATGAGCCTTATCCTTGAATCTAACATTTTCCAAGCACATACAATACATTCCACATATCCTTAAACTGATTCACTTTCTAAATTTTTCTAAATTTCTAAAAAATTTTCTAAATTTCAATCCACACATTAATTTATCATTAATAGCAATATTGTTTCTTGATACCATTCCTCCATATTTTTTAAAAATTGTTACTATTCCAATTTCTTGGAACAATCAGTCTTGCCACAGTTACGGAGCGTGTAGGCTCAGATGCAACAGGGACTCATATTGTCCAAGCGTTCTGAGCCTAGAGTTAGAAAAGTCGGGGGCATCTTATATGCCGAGGCGTCTTATACGCGGAAAAATATGGTAATTAATTCCCCATTATATTTTAATATTTCTACACATGTTTAACAAAGCTATCATTGGACACTTGTATATTTATACTCACAAATTTCTTTATGTCATTAAGCCACCCAGACACCTTTGGGTAGTGTGGGTGGCATATAAATAAAATAAAATAAAAAATAGATAAAAATTACATACATACATACATACATACATACATACATACATACATACATACATACATACATACATACATACATACATACATACATACATACAGCCATTGTCCAAAACCTTCTGCATCATTTCATATGTCCACCTCATATGAAAACATGTGCCCAGTCCTTTCTTACATCTCCAGCAGATACATAGTACTTCATTATTCGTTAAATTCAATTTCACCAGAGTTAAATACCATTTCCATGTTACTTTATAATAATACTCCTTAACTCTTATAGCCACACTCATCAAATGGGCTAAGTGAGCGAGAGAGGGATGGGAACAGCAGCCACCCAAGCAAGGAAGAGCAAAGTCCGTCTCTTTAATCAGCAGAAACAAAACTGGAACTGGGTAGCTTCAGTTCCAAGTGCAAAGAAACATGGGAGGGAAAAAGGGCGGCGGGAATTGGGATAAATTGCCTTGAGGCTTCCCCTCCCTTCAGCTTCTTCACATTTAGTTCCAAACTTTGAAGAAGGGCTGTTATCGCGCCTCCTTTCCTTGGACCTGTGATTAAGGGAGAAAGAGGGCAAGCCTTTCTGGCTTTAACCTAAGAAAGGGTGCTAGAGTGTAATGTGAGAACACTACATTTGAACAGTTCTTAATATAAAGCATCTATTGTGTTGAGCTATTTCAATTGCTTTTGTTTGATTTGTTCATTGCAAAGAGCTGAAAGTTTGTAAATTTTGACCGTAAACCTGATTTGCAATGGGGTGTGTGTGAAATAATTTTGATTACAGCTGGGGCAGAACAGGGCTTCGCTCCAGCCAAGATAAAGTAAATATTTTTGTAGTGGATCATGAACTAGAATGGATGCTAATCTGAGGTGTCTGGGATTGTCAGAGTGGGTGCACATTCAGCCTTGTAAAGAACAGGTTTTAATGAATTATTGTGCTCCTTTGGTCAGTTCTGTGCACACTGTAAAATATATTCTTGTACATATAATTTGTTAGTTTTTAAAGTGCTACAATATTATGCCTTTTTTGCCCCCCACCCCTTTTCTCTTGCCAACATGCTAAGGCAGACGACTTCTTTGAATAAAATGTTTTTTTGGAAAATGTATTATTGGGATGCTGGAAGGAAGAGAGGGAGGAACCTGCTTAGCAGCTTGGCCTACAACCCAAGCCAAATACAGGTTCTTGCTGCTATTTTTTAAAAGTATATTTTATGGTAATTTACATGGATATTATTTTGTTATTCTTAAAATATTGTTTATACCCATGTTGGCTTTGTGTGTTGCTTTTGGAACACCCTGTTTTCTAAAATATGTCAGGCTTAGCACTTTTCCTAAGAGCTAATGTATGCATCAAGTTAATCTCATACATCAGAGAGAATGTGTTTGTTTCCCCCCTGCCATTCCACACAGGGCCTGTTCTCCTTGCAACTGCTGTCCAGCTGGCACCCTCTCTTTGCTGCTTTGTGGCTGATTATAAGGAACCTTGCTTTCTCACTGTGCTTTCTTGCAGGTACAGGAGAAAGCGGAAAGAGCACCTTTATTAAACAGATGAGGATTATTCATGGATCAGGCTATACAGAAGAAGACCGGAAAGGCTTCACAAGGTTGATTTATCAAAACATCTATTCTGCCATGCAAGCTATGATCAGAGCCATGGATAGTTTACAAATACCATACTCATCTGAGCAGAGCAAGGTACAGAACTTACACAGTGCTATCACTTAAGTAGAGCTTAGGAGATACAATGAGTCAGGGTGGAAGTAAGTAAGAGGGTTGCAAAGTGTATATTTGAGAGACCTGAGGCTTCAAACGAAAAGCAGTCTATTCTGGCTGCTGCTGAGAGTACCCTAATCAATGCTATGTGCCATGTTATTAATGCTTTCAAATTCTGAAAGCATTAATAAGCCTCTCTAGAAATACTTTGCCCTATAATATGAGGGACAGTCTAAAAATGAATTAAGCAGAATCTGATCCCAGAAGGGGGCTGCTGCAGGATTGAGAAAGCCGTATATGGAACAACGACCCTGCATCAGCAGGAGGTTGGACTAGTGTAGTGGTTTCCAATTTGGGTAATCCAGATGTTCTTGGACTACAATGCTCAGAAATCCTGGCCAGTGCAGCTAGTGGTGAAGCCTTCTCGGAGTTTTAGTCCAAGAACATATCGGGACCCAAGGTCGGGAACCACTGGACTAGACGACAGTTGGGGTTGATTCCAGCTCTACAGATACATGATGATGATGATGATGATGATGATGATGATGATGATGATGATGATGATGATGATGATGATGATGATTAT